TCTCTCTCCCTCCTTCTCATGCTTGCTCTCCTGTGTCCCCGCCATCAGGATCATTAGGAGATTCACACAGTACATTTAATGACTTCAAAGTTCCCTCAAAGACACAGACAGCTTTCCCCCAAACATTATTTCCATCTAAAATGATTGTCCTCATTAAGACTCTCCTAAACCTAGTATTTTGACAATCCCCCACAATTGAGAAAGGAAGGCAATTTAATGAAACTAACTCTTCCTTCTCAAGATTTTCTAAGTGAATGCATCTAGGCATGCTCATTTTGCTTTTTATTTATTTTTTGGCATCAAGAATCAAACTTAGGACCACGCACATGCCAGGCTGGCGCTGTGCCGTTGGACTATATCCTTGGTCCACTCACTTTTTCTTAAAGAAAACATTTAACCTTGATGGAGTACTAACTGCAAAAATAAGAGAAATCAAGTCTTTTTTTTTTTTAAGTGCAACAGGTCAAAAGTATAAAAGTCAGATTTAAGGTAGAATGTCAATCTTCTAGGTTTAATACTTCATCTAAGTAAATCCTTATAAGACATCCCCGCTTTTTAATGTGATTACTTTTCTTAATAGTCCCCAATATTCACTCCCTCACTATCCTGATTCAAGCATATCCGAAGGGCAAGATTCAGAGCTTAGCTGACCTCTCATGAGAGAAGGCCAAAGCTTTTCTCTACCACACCTTAGCCAATACACTGACCCATTTTAAATTTTTATTATTTTTTAAAGAATAGATGCATAAAAACCCTTTGTTAAAAAAACAAAGCAACTTAAAAGAGAGTTGAAGATTTTAACTTACAGCAAGAAGATTTTATAATAAATCTCTCTTCATGCTCTAAAGGTAAATTGTATTTTTTTATGTGACTTCAGATATTTAGTACGAGTGAATACATAGAAATATGGCTTTTTAAGAACTTTTCTTTGTGTGCAGTATAAAACAGGAATACGAATGTTTTTCACTTGGCCTATTTATTTAACAGTGTCTTACAGATCTTTGCAGATCGGTACATATACACAATTTTGTTATTTCCAATATTGTATATTATTTAGTTTTTCATATAAACCATAATTTATTCAACCATTTCCCTGATGATGAACATTTACTTTGTTCTTAATATTTTCCTATCACAATACTGTAATTAACTATGCAGTACAGCAGTACTGCAATACTGCAATTATCTGTGCAAACTATGTTTGTGAATGTTTGTAAACATGTCTGGAAAAGAAAGGGCTCAAACATGTTGTAAAATAAAAGAACATTTTCAGTTTTGAAGCTCTCAACTTATCATCCAAAGTAACCAGTTAACATTTCCTCCAATACTGTATGAGTACTTCTGCATATTTTCACCAATATAGTATGTACCATGTGTTTACTTTTGGGTGAGGCAGCTTTTGAATGGTTGAACACATGTTCTATAAAAGGCACAAAAGAAGATAGTGATCACGAATTCAAACGACACTAGACACCATGAGCAGTGTTAGACTCAAACTAGAACAAGAAGTAGAATTGGGGCAACTTTTGTTTCATAAATATTTTAATAATTAGGCTTGTAAGTATTGTTACAAATAGCATCCTGGAAGGTCATTATTTATTCTAAGAATACTGCCAATTTCCAAACATCCATGCAGTTTTCTTTGAGTATGGCCCTCAGGGTCCAGTTTTTTAAATTTATTATGGATTAAAAACTAAGGGTCAACTTAACACCAGCTGAGTTAAATCAGCATGGCGCTGAGTGTAGATGGCCCACCTGAGGAAAGTTGCCAGCATAAATAGAGACTTGGAGAAGAAGAGCTAGGCATTGTGGGTTTCTCTACGTGTTGCTGTTTTGAGCTGCTGGTTCTCCTGGAGGAGTTCATCATGGCTAGCTTCCCCAAGATGAATTCAGCCATTATCATCAGAGAAGCTCGGGACCTTGTCAGTGAGGGTGGCTGTGATTCACTTTGGGGGGAGCTCTGCTCCTGACATTGAGCATCGCTTCCTGGCTGTAGAAGGGAAGATGTGTGCTGTTTAATCTCCAAGACAAACTCATCACACTGGCTTCTTGGCATGTACTCGACTGTGCTCATTGTTGGAGGAGCTCAGGGCCTCCGTGTTGCTGAGAATGGCTGTGGTGTTTTTCAGGACAGCCCTGGTCTTTGTTGTGAGTGTGACTTCTTGGTTCCAGTGTAAAACCCTCAACCTATGAGCACAGCTCCTTCACCCAGGTAGCATAGATTTCCTAATTCCCACCTCTGACCTTTGGGCCTTCCCAACACAGATCTGGAAAACAGACTGGTGTGATTCCTTCTCATGGGCTCTAGATTTCCAGTTGGACCCGTGGGAGGCATTGTCATGGGCTCTAGGTTTTCATCTGGACTCATGTGGGACGTTGCTGTGAAATTCAGGCCCTTGGCTGAATATTCTGGGTCTTCAGTGTTGTGAATAGATTTCCTGCACTTTATTGATTAAACTCTGGATGACCATCATAAAATAATATTACAAATGCTGTGTCCTGATTGCAGTTGTTCTCTTCACAACCCTGACTACAACAAACTTCTTCAGTGTTAACAATTTGTTTGTTGGTCTTTTTATTTTACTTTATGGGTGTAGTGCATACTGTTTACATTTCTTGTGGGAGTTGGTACATGTACATCACAAATTTTAATTCTTTTTTCATGTCCTTTCCCTTTCTTCTCTCTCCTTCCACTATTCCTTGATCTTTTCTCTTTTTTTTCCTTTTGTACACGTTTGCAGTAGAAAAATGAATTCACCTTGAGACCATAATGTAAGTAAAATAAATCAGATACAGAAGCTAAAATACAGAAATGTTGTTTCTCCCACCTGAGAAACCAAGAGTAAAAATTAAGAACAAAATACAAGATAGGTAATACACAGCAAGGAAATCTTTCTAAAAGGGTGAGGCCATCAAGAGATGGAGGGGAGGGAAGAAGGAGAGGGACAGGGATGAAAAAGGGAATTCAGATGCGTTGTGTGCATGTACCAACTCCATGCTGTCATTTGAAGAATGGGATCTCTGACAGCCAAAGGCATTTACAGGGAGATTATCTAACATGTTCTTGGTTATCAAGAGAATGGAAATATCTTTGGTTGAGAATAGAGTGAGTCATAAAATTGTATGTGAAAGAAAGAGAAGAAAGGAAGGAGAGAAGAAGAGAGGCAGACAGAGTAAGACAGAGACAGAAAGATGTTTCCAGAGAATAATTTAAATATATTTTGTATGTCAGCATGTGTGCAAAGTTCCCAAGATCATGGCCCTAAAGGACCAATTCCCATTTGGATATAAACATTGTGGTATGTTTACTTCAAAAGATTGATTATTTTATAGCCTCCACTCATAAAACCCGAGGTCCTAAAACACCTCACTCTCTCTTGGAAGCAGACATCATTTGTTGTGCAGATAATGATACATCAGGTTCCAACTTAACTAAGGTCACTTCTCCTTTTGCATAATAAATAACACTTGTAGCGAAACTGGGAAAAGAAAATTTAGTTTCAGAAATTTAAAATTGTTGAATAAGGAGTCACTGATACATAAAATATTTTAACAGACAGAAATAAGCAAGCACAATATTTGTTCAGTGAGTTTTGTTTGTTAGGAAGGGCAAGGGAAAGAAATAATTCTGCCACGATCCTTCTTGCTCTGCCTCTCAGAAGATAGGGTTTGGTCACAATTCAGCTCCACCTGCCTTCACTGTCCTTTGTGGCTTTCTAGTGACACTCCCCAAGTTTCTTTCAGAAGCTCCTAATCTCCTACAATTTTGTGTTCTATCCATGCTAACTGCCCTTTCTGCTCCCCAATCAGCTTCCTACTCCCCAACATGTGAGATTATGGTTTCTTGGTGGGAAAAAATAGATGAGTTTTAAACTAGACAGAGTTGGATTCAAATCTCAGCTCTTAGTTAGGACCTCAGAAAATAAAAGTGACCTCTCTGAGCCTTTCTAAAATAAAATAAAATAACTACTGTTTAAATTGTCATAAACTACATGAGCTCATTAAAAAAACTGGAAAAAAATTATACAAGTGAGTGTCAGTTGGATGCATTTGTGTATGATGTACGCATATATTTTATGATGTGAGCAGCACAATATTTATTTTTCTAAAATTCATTTTGCTTTCTTATGCATCATTTCCAACAATTGCCCAAGCTCTTGTTACACATCTAAGCAATCAAGAGCTGGATAACCCTGGAAATAATCCTTCCCACTATTGTTTGCTCCTATTGTAATTGATTTGGAAGGTTTGTCTATCTTTTAGTTTGGTTTTGTTTTAAATCTTCTTCACTTTACTTGGATCCATTTCTTCTATTTCTGTCCTCTACAATAACAAGATAAATCTAATCCTTTCACCACGTAACAGCCTTTGGAATATTAAAAATAAGCGTGACAGGGGCCGGAGATTTAGCTCAGCGGCATAAATGCCTGCCTTGCAAGCAGGCAGTCGTGAGTTCGATCCCCGGTACTGATAAAAACGAAAAAGACAAAAAAAAAAAAAAAAAAAAAAAAAAAGCGTGGCTGTCTCTGGGATTTTTTTCCCATCTAAACAGCCTCAGTTTTTGCTTGTTTGTTTACAGTTTTCTCACCCATCATTATTTGTGGGACTGTGACCTTCTGAGCAGCAGTACCTGCCAGCTCTGGTTTCCTCCTCCTCAGAACCCTGCCTCAGTCCCATCCTTCTCCTCCTCTATGAAAACTCAGCTCTCCCCGTCAAGTATAGAAAACTATTATCTGTTGCTATGTCACTCCTTAGCTCAGCTAACAACAAATATATATCTTTTATTTCTTTTGGAACAATCTCTACCTAACCACTCTCCACCCCTGCCACTACTCCATAAAACAGTATCTCAAATTGTTCACCAACTTAGTTTGGTTGACTTTAACTATTTTCCTCCATCTTTAACAAGACCATTTCTATCTTTAAAACCTCCTCCAAAGGCTTACAAAGAAATCAATTAAAATGCATTATAAAGCAGAGACAAAAAGCACCATAACATAAAAATAGAACTGCTTTATTTTGAAAATGTGTGTGTGGGTAGTATAGCTACTAACATCCTTAATCTGGGGCTGGGCTGCTCAGGTTAAATCTCATCCACTTCATGGCTGCTTGCATCCTCTGTGGCAGGGTTTCCTCATCTGTAATAGGGTAATAGTAGCCACAGTAAATGATTATTAGGACCTTGTGAGTTACTAGTAAATCATATAAAATGCCTAGATCACTATCTAGCACAAGGTAGGTAATATCTATTTGTTTCAGTGGTGACAATGATGATAGCACCAAGAAAAATATAGAAAAAAAAATACCGAAGAATATGCAGTGATTTCACTGTGAGGTAATTTTCATTTTTATGTTCTCTTTCATGCTTGCTTTTCTTTTCCGTCCTGCTACTAGAGATTGAACTCAGACTCAACTAATGCTCCATCTGTAACTTACTCAGATCTCTATTCCTTTTGCCCCGTTTGTTTGTTTTGTTTTGATACTGGGGGTTGAACTCAGGACCTTGCACCTGCAAGGCAGGCGCTTATGCTGCTGAGCTTTTTATTTTGAGACAGGGCCTAGCGCAGTTCCCAAGCTGTGATCCTCCTGCCTTACCCTCCCAAGTAGCTAGGATTATAAGCATGTCCACTGCTCCTAGCATAATTTTTATTCTACTCATTTGTTTACATGTTTATCTTTCCTATAGTGATAATTAAATATTCTAATTTAAAAATAATAAAGTTATTTTGTAAATCAAGGATTGAGAGATACAGATTCCATTCTCACCTTGCCAAAATCTTGATCTATGTGCTTGAGCGAATCCCTTTTCAGCTGTCCATGTTTCAGTTTTCTAGCTGGTGAAATGAAAAGGAAAAGGCATAAATCCCGACAACACTGGTATTAAGCGGTAATCCCTCTTAATTCTGCAACCCTGGACACTTCACAAAGTGCTCCCTGTGCTTAGCTCATTGGAAATGCTACTACTTCCTGTGCAGTAAGCGGGCCTGACCCGCTGGAATAGCTGCCTATGTCTGCAAAGTATAAATACTGACTTGGACCCTGTCCTCTGTTTAGCAGGAAGCTTTGAACCCTTCACAAGTCTATTAGGGTAGCGTTCACCTCCTCCATTATCTGACCTGCTGATTATAAAATAGTTCCAGCCTGTCAAAGCTGGACTCCCATGGGTCCCTAATTTAAGACTGAGAAGACACAGGAAAGGATAAAACAAAAGAATTCAGATTTCTAGAGCCTCTACAGTCTACATCATTATAATGTAAATCTCACTTGGTCTTCACCACAATCTAGGTGGGAAGTTTTACTGTCCATATTTCAGAGATGATTTCCTCAAACAGGTTCAATATCATTGCCCACTGCTCCACAGTCACTAACTTCAAAACAGGATTTTGAAAAACTAGATAATGAAGAACTAGATAAACCCAAAGCTCAAGGTGCATGCTGCCACACAGCAGTTGCAGATACAGTAGGGCTGGGATGTTAATTTTTGTTTTACTTCCCTCTGAAGAGCTGTGTGATAAATGTTACAGAGAACGAGTGTGGCAATTTATTGCAAACTAGCCTATAGATGGCGGTATGTCGCAATCCTACAGACTCAGACTGGCATGCACCATGAAATCTTTAATACAAAACTCTCAAATGCACTGAGATAGCCAAAGACCCCTCTCTGTCTCTCTGGGAAGTGACTGAGACAGCGATTGAGCAAGGTTATTTCTTCATATTTACAGAACAACATAGAACAAACACATCTGAACGCTGGCCACTGTTCCATATAATAAATTTTGGCAGTAAAAGCCATGTGGCCTTTTTTTCCTCCTTGTTCTCCCTTTTTCTCCCCCCCCCCCCGCTCCCATGAACACACTCCGATGCTCACCCCTCTCCTTTTGATGGATTATAGCCCTGAGGGCATGTGAGAGTGAAGTCAGCATAATATACAATGCTAAAATGTCTTGAGCCAGTCAACTGGAACCTGCTTCCCACTCTAAAGAAAGTAGCATAAAAACAAGTGAGCGATGAAGCTTCAGGCTTGAAATCCAGGAGATTTTATTGTGTTTGGACAACTCCATTAAATTAGAATACTTGGCCTTGAATAAGCAAAATTCTAATTGCATGCTAAGTTACATCTCTCTTATCTTCATTGTCATCTAAATAGACACTTTCTATGTGCCGGGCAGGGTGTATAAAGTATTACTGCACTTGAGCTGCACAATAATCTTATGAGGTAGGCAGTAATTATAGCCATACTAATTGAAGCAGTTTCAAAATAAAGAATTAAAAGGGCTAGGGATGTAGTTCAGCATGAAAACGAGGGCCTCAGGTTCCATCTCCAAGACCACTCTAGGAAACAAAGTTTCTTATTTGGTAGTAGTCTCTGACTGTTTCACTATTTTCCAGTGGTCATCGGAAGTTTACTTTGAGAAAGTGGTGTTGGAGTCAGGCCACTGTGCGTGTGTGTGCGTGTGTGTGTGTGCGTGCGTGTGTGTGTGTGTCTGTCTGTCTGAGTCTGTTTGTCTGTGTGGGGGGGTTGTTGTTATTCTGTGACATTTATTCTATGTTACTCTGTGAGTCTATGATTATTCTGTGAAAATGTTACAAACAACATTCCAAGATGGACTTAAACTTTGAGCTCGTTTGACTCAGCCTCCCAGATTGTAAGTGGGCAACACCACACTTGGCTAACAAGAATTGTTTAGTATCTGTGCTGCCGAAGTGAGCCCTCAAGAATTGCCTATTGTAATGGTTTTTGGTAAGAATTCCCAATCCATTTAAACAGTTCTGTATTAAGCAGCTGTTATCATGAAAATGGACACAGCAATTGGTGTATGTGCAAAAGTGAAGACCACTGTGATTCACCCTGTGAGTTTGGGCCACACAGGCCCTCGCTGTTGGATTACAGGCCACTCTCTGCTTGCAGTAGCGCTCAACCAGTTTATTGTGAATGTACTTAACTCTTACTTGTATTCCAACCCTCTATGACATGTTCAAATGTTAAACAGGAACAAAAAGGGGATAATTGTCAGAAACAACTATCGCTAATTTATTTCAAGCCAAGCATGCAGATATACACTTGTAATCCCAGCACTTGGGAGGCTGAGGCAGGAAAGCACTGACTTCAAAACCAACCTGGGCTACAGAGAAAACTCAAGACCAGCCTGAACTATGCAACAAGACTGACTCAAAAAGAAAAAAAAAAATGTTTCAGAGGCTACAGTTCACAAAACTTCCCTCCTCTTCACTTCTCTTTCCAGCAAGTTCCCCTTCCCAGAGCCAACGACTGATAAGGGATGAAGAGAGAACAACAGGTGCCTGGTTGTCTCAAGTGGCTTATTGACATCTCTGAGGTTTTTCAGGCTGGGTAACACCCATTTAGCTGGTTATACCCTTCACAGCAGTAAGTTTTGGGTACTTCCTCCCCATTGAGAAGGAGTGGCGTGGGGTGTGGTAGGGAACAGGGAACGTGCTGAATTATAAGTCTCTGGGTGTGTGTGTCTCTCCCTCTCTCTCTGTCTCTCTCTCTGTGTCTTTCTCTTTCTCTCTCTGTCTCTCTGTCTCTGTCTTTCTCTGTCTCTCTGTGTCTCTCTTTGTCTCTCTGTCTCTGTCTCTCTGTCTCTGTCTCTCTGTCTCTCTCTCTCTCTCTCTCTCTCTCTCTCTCTCTCTCTCTCTCTCTCCTCTCTCATCCTCCACATTCACTTCACTTTTGCTGCAGCTCAACTGTGTCACATAAGGGGTGACCAATTCCCAGACCTCACTGAAAGTAACTATATTGTGCAACTTAAAGGCAAATTGTAGAGGATGACTCATGACAGGGAGCTAGAAGAGCCACCCTAGGCAGCTCCCTGCCTTCTTACAGCGCTCTGCCAGGGAGGCAGGTGGTGACCCAGGAGGCCCAGCCCCAGAGCAAGGTGAAGATCCCAGCACTCCTCTCCTGTAATCTTGGGCAGGCTCCTTGAGGACTGGTGCTCTGGACACCTCCCTCCTACAAAGATAAGCTTTCTGAGTGATCTGGAGAGAGTGATGGGCTCACACACAGGCAGACCCACAGTGGCTCCACTCCAGGCCCTGGGACACATGCTGGTTAGCAGTTTATTCCTCAGAGGCTTGGTCTTGCCTCTCACTGTAACCAAGAGCTGGCCTTGATCCTTGAACCTCTTCCCAAGCCCAGCAGAGGTAAAAATCTGATACTGCGTTGGGTGTGACCCCAGTCAGCCCTGCTAATAAACATTCCTTCCTGTTTGCTTCATGGCGACAAAAGAGGAGGGAAGCAGGGGCAGAGGCAGGGGCCGCCGAGCAGGGTCTCTAGCAGAGAAACTAGAACTTGCTGGAGCTAAATCAGTCCAGTGTTTCTAATGATTGTAATGCTTCACTTGCCAAAGCAAATGCTCTGAAATGTGTGGACTACTCCCTGCCTTTCCCCTGAGCTTCAAGTAGGCTGGCACTTTCTGTTTTCTCCTTTCACTTCTCTCCTCTTGGAAACATGGTGTCAGAGTCTTCCGTTTCAGCTTGAAGTTCTCCCTTGCTTCAGTGCTGTAGGAAGAGGAGCTGTCATACCAAAGAAACGCTGTGCTGATACCCTTTTCTTTGGATATAAGTAAGTGACCATTTTAAAGGTTATTCATACTCCTCAAATACTTCCCTGTGTTTCTGGGCTCAAGTAGGTTAAATTATAAATAAAATGTCATAACATATTACTTACAAGTGAAATTTGAACTCTTTATTAGTTAAGATCTACCTATTGGTTGTACCAGGTATCAAACTCAGGACCTCCCTCTGAGTAGGCAAACACTTGAGCCACTGAGCTAAATCCTCAAATCTAAGCTCTACATATTCTTAGCTTATGTGAGGCCATGGATCCAATCTCTGGCACCAAAAAATAAAAAAATGAGTATAAAAAGCAAGCTCTAGGTCTGTCAATTTTTATGTATCCTAAAAGATTTATCATTGGAAAATAAGACATCTGTCAACTCTTTTTTTATTTTAAAGAGGAAAAAAAGATGAACAATGAAATCGAGTTTCAAAACTGGTCAGCAGGACAGTTCTTAATACAATTCTTTCTCTATGTATAACATGCATAACTCTTTCTTCCTAATGAAATGTAGTCTTTTGTTTATTTTTAAAAGACATCCTCACATCCTTTTCTCTCTAGTCCTCCGAAAATTGAGTGAGGTCAACTTTCCCTGAACCCTTTGTTCCATGTTCAAGCATCGTGCACATCCATAGCTGTAATATCTTTATTAGCGAAATTATTCAGGAAGAGTCGGTTTTGATATCTGGCTACATACGGCTAGTAATGACCTTTCCCACTCAAAATTCTCCAGTCACTTCCCACTGTCTTTAGATTAGTATCCAACCTTCTTTCCATGACAGAGAGCCTCTGCACCGTCTCCTCTTTTTTCTTGAACCGGTATTTTCCTCTCCACCACAGCCCCACATCAGTTCTCTCTTTGGTCCCTCCAGTGGACCAAGCTGTCTCAATTTCTTTGCACTTGTCAGTTATGCTTCTCTCTCTTTATCTGGTTGCCCCCAATGCCCTCACTTAGGTCTCAGGTCAGATGGCACCACTCCAGAAAGGCCATCCAAGTTTTCCACACCAAGCTAGAGAGAACATTTTCCTGTTGTTTTCATCCTGAATTTTTGTCAGTATCTAATCCTTTTTATTTGCTGTCTTGTACACTATTTTATGAGTATTTGTTCTTTTTCAGGTCTGTTATTCTCTAGGGGTGAAAAGGCTTTAATTTTTCATGACTATCTCATCATTTCTAGAACATCACTTGACACATAAGAGGCACTCAGTAAATGCTTGTTGAAAAAATAATCTCAATTCATTTCCACACCTACTTTGAGCTATTTTACGTATCATGAGGAGTTCTGGCTGCCTGCAGTCTTATTACACTGGGTAACCTATTAGCAAATACCGTCACAGCCTCAGATGGTTTTTAAAACAGTAAGAAGTTACCTTATATCACTTAATTCATTTTTACAAAAAGACGAAAGACCTAAGACAATGTTGAGTATATCTGCTAATCATTGGTCAGTTCTTCTCAAACTTTTCCAACAAGACATAAATAATAACTAAAATTCAGTAATAATAATGCTTATTGGGAATATGAACTGAATATTAAGTGACCCCTAATGACTAAAATATCTTTAAAGTCCCAGGGTTAACTTTTAAAACTTCAATGAAGGTTGTGTTCTAATACATTATGTATCTGGGTTTGATTTAATGTAAAAGAAATTTCCTTTGAAATGGTTGAAGAAAAAAAGTGCCTTCCAAGATGATGTGCTCTATTTATCTTGGAAAACTACACAAGTACATGTGGTCCATGCTGATAATCATGCAGGAAGAAAGGATTCTAGAAAGATCTTAAAGGAAGCACTGCCTCCCTTGCTGCCTGCCCACTTGCCGTGGATATCTGTACTCCAGGGAGGAATAGCTCTGGAGCAGGGTTATGGGAGGAGATGTTAGGTTTTAGGCAGGAAAGCTGATAGCTATGTCTTTCTCGTTTCAGTCTCTTTTCAGACCTCTGCTTTGAATCACTTCGGCTTTCTGTCCTGCCGCGCGTTTGGTGAAATAAGAGGTGTAAGTCTTCCTTGCTTCTGAGAGGACTACATTCCAGTCTTCTCCAAACCAGAAGGAGCTTTATATGCACCTTGGCATTGGTGCTGATGGCTCTCTTTTCCTTTAGACTGTCCATAGTCACTCAGAGGGATTTCTTCCCCATTCTCCCTCCTTAGAAGGAGAAGCAGGAACCAAATTGACAACATGGTACAAATCTTCAAGCCCGTCTTCAAAGCTGCCAAGGAAAAGGACTCTTTGTGACTCAGATACTTGTTGTCTAATTCACCCCAGATTGCAGAAGGCTGCGCATCTAAACTTTGGTGTACACTAATGAGGCTTCTTTTATCTGAGATGCTTCTAGAGTCTGGAATCTGTAAACATCATTTGCTACTCAGAGCAGACTGCAGGGTCAGAACCCAGACTATCATTTTTATGTCACCATAATGTGTATAAAGAAAAGACCGACAAGGATGATAGGAGT